ATGTTTGGTGGAACGGGAATTCGAAACTGCGATTTTCAGATTGCGAGTCAAGCGCGCTCTCTCTCTCTCTAGCTTCCTGGCCATGCCGGGCGTACACATGATATGTCAATTCTCTTAAATAATATAGTCCATTATTAAAGCTTTATAAAGACCTTCTAACGTATGGTTTATCTACTGCTCTGTAGGAGACCGGAACTTGGAAGAAAACGACATATGCTGATATTCCTTTTAAAGTGGAATTAAACTGAAACTTTTAATGATACACAAAACGTACAAAAGATAATCACTCGGTGTAGAAAATTGTAATTTGTTTCCAGTACAAAAACAGATAGATGAAAAATCGTAGATGCTTTCGAGAGTGACATTTGAATTGTCCGTTTATGTATATATTGAATATTCTTTAGGTTGATCTAAGGATGAAGGTCAGTTATCTATCAATAACTGTGTATGTACACGTGACACATTTAGGTTGAACTAAGGACGAAGGCCATCTATCTAAGAATAACTGTATATGTACACGTGACACATTTAGGTTGAACTAAGGACGAAGGCCATCTATCTATACATGTAATTGCATTGATGGATTTAATTCTTCAATTGCAGATGTGCTGCTTGATACAAAGCATGTTTTGATGTGCTAAAGTTGCGATGGTTTCGTTAGAGACCGCTAGGCGGGGACAGGCAGGAGACGCGCTTACTTGATACAGCTAACTGGTGTTTGAGCCACAGTTGCATGCTACGCTAGGAAAACATTGCCTGAAAATCAACGACGCCCTCGAATTAGCTTTACATTTGAAAGAGTAACTTCTAGATACGCTAAGCATAAGTGATAATAGAAAAGGTAAGTTTTTTTTCTATATAATATTCCAAGTTTTAATTTAGATGAGAAAAATACATCCTCACTTGACATCGATAAAACGTTACGTAGAATGATAACAACAGCTTCTTAACTTGTTTGTGGGTTTGTCAACTTACGAGGTTTCAATCTAAACGGCTGAGTAACTAACCAAAAAAAAAAAAAAAATTAGTAGAAGAGGGGTGGAAACTTTTGTAACAACTCGTTGATTCGAGTTATCTCGAACTTTGTTACACAGAACGAACAGGTATCAAACATTATGTTCTCTCTAAACTGGTTCGTATTCACGTTCTAAAGCAGTGGTTCCCAACCTTTTGTGGCCCTTGCACCCTCTAAGGAAGCCCTCGCACTCCTCCCCTAAAAAGTGTGCATTAGATATTTCCTCTTGGGGGAAAACGGACCTTGTATAGCTCTCTTCCGCGCACCTCCTGGACCCTCATTTCGCATCCCTGGTTAGGAACCCTTGTTCTAAAGTAAAGGGTGCCATAAGCAGGCACGGCGTATAATTGTTTGTTAAAAATCACACATTATTTTTGAAATACCAAAAACTTTTTATTTGTTTATAATAGCTAAAGTAAGATAGTCCTAATGGAACTCTAATTTAGTTTGTTTGTTTTGAATTTCACGCAAAGCTACACGAGGGCTAGCCGTCCCTAATTTAGCAGAGTAACACTAGAGGGAAGGCAGCTAGTCATCGCCATCCACCGCCAATTCTTGGGCTACTCTTTTACCAAAGAATAGTGGGATTGACCGCCACATTATAACGCTCCCACTGCTGAACGGACAAGCATGTTTGGTGTGACGGAGATTCGAACCCGCGACCCTCAGATTACGAGTCGAGCGGCCTAACCACCAGGCCGTGCCGGGCCCTCTAATTTAGTAATTCAGAATTGCGATATAAAAATGACCAACACACACAATGAAGTTATGGTTAACACCAAAAATTTTAAACGATTGGATAGGAAATGGCGTTTTCCCAGTAGTATTAGAAAAATAGTTTGTTAAAGTTCTCATAACAAGAAACGTATGGGTAAACTAAATTTCATTTATAATATTCCTGAGAAGTATCGCTAAAGGAAAATGTACATCAATTTAACTAGAGGGGCACTCAATAGAACGCATAACTCCGCCACGCAGCATTGATCATATTCGGCTAACAGAAAATACGAAAACGTGTCCGTATGTCTGTTATTATCAACGGACACGGAACATTTTTGGCAGGACAATGAGGAATAATATTCTACATGAGTCCACGAAATTTAATCAAAATCCGATCATTTTTGTCTGAATTATAGAGGAAAAATAGGGTGAAAATCGGTCTCCACTTTAGCAGATAGGGATTTGTTTTTTTATATATATTCGTAATCTTGCCTCTCCAAAAACTAATTACTTTTAAGTTGGGTCATAGCCAAAAATGTATACCAAATTTCGTCCAAATCCATTCAGAAATCCCTCTGACAAATACACACACAGGAGTAAAATTATAACCCCCATTACCATAATATGCACACTGTAAGTTTCAACTATCAAGCTCGGTAGACAGTTAGTTTCAATATGTTCCAATAGGGGACAGTAAACGACGCCACATACTGAACTCCTTACAGTTTTAAATGTAAATGTTTCGAGACTATTTCAAACAGTAATCATCATCTTTGCCAAACATTTGGCACTGTGGTACTGTATTATCGTACGGATAATGCAGGTACTGTTCTGGTTATCGTTTTTTGAAGGTCACGACTTTTCTATGAATTTGGATTTTTGTTTTTGTTTTTTACATCTGTTTGTTTGTTGCTAAACGTAAAGCCACACAATTGGCCATCTATGCTGTGCCAACTCTACGGGTATGGAAATCTCGATTCTTAGTGTAATAAGCTTTCAGACATACCGCTAAGCCGTCCCCCAATGGGACAACGAGAAGTCTACGAACTTACAATGCTAAAATCCCCGCGGTGGAGACAGCAAACAGCCTGATGTGGCTTTGCTCTAGAATAAACAAACAGTACCGCTGATTCACTAGGGTGCGTTTTTTACTCCACTGGGAGTTTACAGGAATAAAAAAAAATGAAATTCTATAGCTAAATGTTTTTTTTTTCTCTCGTCATTTTCGAATGAGACCATTTACGATTCAGTTCTTTATATCTCACGAATCAATCTATTCGTTGTTTTGTTTTTTCTGTTCTAATCATAATACAAACTGGTATTTTTCATACAACCTTGAAACATGTTTTATATCATAGCATAAAATACTGTGGGAGATGGTTGGTCTTTGACGTACAGTAACATAATACATGAACATGATTAAATAAAGTGTAGTTTATAAAGCTAACCAAAGAAAGAGCCCAAGTGTTATCCCAAAATATGCGCTTCGCACTTTGGGGCCGCTATAAGTATAATAGTAACGGTCAAATCTCAGTATTTGACCAAACAAGAACAGCCCAAGAGTTGACGGTGGGTGCTGTTGACTCTGCCTTCCATCTAGTCTGTTAGTTTTGAATTAGGGATAGCTATTCGCAGATAACCCTTGTGTAGATTTATGGGAAATTTTAAATACAAGCAAATAAATAAGTTCCTCGTAATGAAGAAGAGGTCAAACTGCACCTGACCATCCCAGGTCTACAAGACCTAAAACCCGATACTGACAAGAGCTGGACGTGAAATAAGATGCTAGTAAAATATATCGAAAGAAAATTTTTATAAAATTAATGGTAATTTACATTCTGAAGGTATGGAGTTCACATTAGGAGTTCAAATTGATATCAAGACCATTAGATGACCGCAGTTAATATTTGGACCGGGAGTGACCTAGTATTTAACGTACAAGGTTATGGATGAAAAGGCCCAAGCTTAGAGACACGGCATTTTGAACACTTTGAATTGGATAAGTTAAAAGAGTGACAGCGAATCCCATTATTCTGTGAAAAGACCGACAAAGACCATGGGCTATGATAGAGCCCTCTTTACTGGTTGTCTTCCCTATGGTAAGCAGTTCAAAATCAGGTAAAGCTATACCATAACCCCGGGGGACTCTTACTTACAATCACATGCACGTAAGCGGTCCTTAGGTTGAAAATACCAATACAATATTCAGCTGCCTCACTTTATAGGGGTGAACTGAACCGATTATAATAAAATAATACGCGCAAAGGAATATTATCTTTCTATCAAATATATTCACCCACATTTCTACTGGTTCACTAACAAAAATTGTTGGACGTTTTCCAGTTTTTCTGTTTGATTTAACGTTCGGACATTCTTTATCTTGCAGTTTTATGACAGCGTCTGAATTGTATATAACTTAATCATTCTGTCGATTTAGTTTAGTTACAAAATCTGAACAGTTTTTATGGGTGGAATTAAAGCTTGTATTTGTAGCTTAGAAATATGAAAATAAATGAAAATTGAATCTGTGTATTTTCTTATTAGAGTTGCGAGCAGTTTGGTTTATTAAGTCTGGATTTTTTTTCTTGCTTGATTGAGAGTGTATAATTTTCAGGTTTGTTCTAAATAGGTAACTTCTATCGAGTTGTGGGAGTTTTATTTAACCAAGATCGCCGTCCTGTGTCCCGTTCAGCCTAAAACTTTACAGTGTGTGTGAAGTTCGAAGTAATTTGTCAAAACACAACACCCAAAACAAAACATGGAAATCACTGACGTCATAGGTAATTTGGGACGACTTCAGTGTTACATAATAATCTTACTTATATACCGCGGAGTGCCGACAGCATGGGAAGTTTTGGCCCTACCATTTTTGGCTCCAGATACTGACCATTGGTGTGCCAAACCACACCAACTAGAGAACTGGACAGTTATCCAATGGAAGAATGTGTCCATACCGTTCGACACTAAGAAACAAGAATTCAGCCAGTGTCAGAGCTACAGCTACAAGTTAGTGGAGTCACCTAATTCCTGGGATGTAATTATTGATCAGAATGTCACGGTTCCCTGTATAAAGTGGGATTACACCACTAAAGACAACACAATAATAACCCAAGTAAGTTGGGTATCATAAATAAGTCCTTTTACAAGTATTTTGTGTAATTACTTTCAATTGTCAGTCGAAAGAAGAATATAATACTAACTCTCAGAATCCAAAACAAAAAAGGAACAAATCTGTAACTTACACGGTTGTCTTATGAATTATTCAGAAGCGTGGTAACTCTAGTGTTTAATTTCTGTCGTATATCTGTGGAACATGTTTTTCTTAGCCAGAAGCGGAAACGCAATAATTAATTTGAAGATTGCCTTAGATTCCTTGCAAATTGACGTACTTTCTTTGGAGTAACTTATTTTATGAGAATTGTGTATACCACTCTTGACACCAGTGGTAAATATTTTCACACGGACTAGTTGTAACTGAAAGAAAATATTTTTACTGAACCTGAATATTATTTCTGTTTATAATGTAAAGAAAATTTGAATCCATATTAATGTAAAATATATATTATCGTACATTTACGTTAGCTAAAAAAACATGATAGATAAATTAACTTCTTTTAAAACTAAATACTAGCACAAAGAATACGAAACTAGTTTCGACACATTCACGTGTCCTCTTCAGTGCTTAACAGTTTTCCTACTTTTGGTTATTACTGAGAAATGATTTAATTTTAATACCCAGAAAATCATGTATACAGATTTATATCCCCCACTAGCACAGCTGTAAGTCTGAAGACTTATAACGCGAAAAATCATGTTTCGATACCTCTAGTTGTGCATAAAAACAAACAAAGCCAAATCTGCAAATAAAATAAAAACTAAATTCTATAAGCAATTGGTTTTGAAGTCATTCCTCGTGAAATGAAAAAAAAACAAAAAAACAACATAATTTCCATAAGCTTCGATCATGAGAATGGTTATAAATGTAAAACTGACTCTATAATACTTTAGGACTAATATTCTATATCTTTAGGACTAATATTCTGTTTCTTTAGGGTTAGTATTCTATATCTCTAAGACTAATATTCTACTTAAAGCTAATTGTTTTTTAGAAAAGTTGTTGTGCCTTGAAATTTAGACAAATGAAATATTACCGTGCACAAAATATTGTCCCATAGTAGTACAGCGGTATGTCTGCGGACTTACAACGCTAGAAACCGGGTTTCGATACCCGTAATGGGTAGAGCACAGATAGCTCATTGTGCAGCTTTGTGCTTAACAAACAACAAACACAGTATATTTGAATATACATCTGGGCCTAAACTAAGAGTGCCACGTCTTGATGTTCATCTTTGATATATAAAATAACTTAATTCCGTTTATTTGCAAGTTCATTTGTTGGTGAACATTGTTTATTGTTGCCAACAACGTTTTATATTGTTGACAGAGAAGCAAAGATCTGGCGAGTTTCACCTCCTACCCTACTTATATATATGAAATATGTGGTCATCACAGAATATATTTACTTATTCATTTAGTCACTTGCAACAAAATGAAGAAGAAAGACACAGAAAATATTCTAACAGTCCAATATACGTAGAGTATTAACTTCATGTAGGCACATAAAGACCGAAAGTACTGTTAATTTATATTGTGTGCCTTTAAATGTTTTTAAGTATTATTTACTAACATTAATCAAACAATCTGACATATTGGAATAAGAGTTTAAATTGTTGACAGAGAAGTAAAGCTCTATCGAGTTTTCCTTCGGTGGCACAGCGGTATGTCTGCTGACTTACAACGCTAGAAACCGGGTTTCGATACCCGTGGTGGGCAGAGCACAGATAGCCCATCGAGTAGCTTTGTGCTTAACTTCAAAACAAACAAACAAACTATCGAGTTTCACCTTCTTACCTATATATATATGCAAATATTGAAAGTGCTTGTATGCCTTTAAGTATTACTTTTAAGTATTATTTCCAATATTAATTAATTAATTTGATATAGTGAAAAATGCCTGAACTATTTTTCTCCTATTTGAATTCCCGTTTAAGCCTAAAGTTCTATGTATTTCAGTGGGACTTGTTCTGTGATCGGGAATGGCTGGTATCCATGAACCAGACGGTGTTTATGTTGGGAATGTTGACTGGAGTATTTATATCTGGTCATCTTAGTGACAGGTAAATACTTTTGAGCCTGATTTATTTTTTCATAATACAAACTTACTTGTAGTAAATACATTCTAAAAGAACTGAAGAAAACAAGTAAAGAAAATAACTCCTAAACTCATTACAGTTGCCATTCTTGATATATATTATTTGTGTACAAGTATGAGTATTACAATGTTTAGTGATATAATCACCTGGAATTTTATTCATTACAAAATGTTATTGGGCTAATTTTAACCTTCACCGTGTTTCTTAACACGTTTAGAATAAGCTGTATCGAGAAAACAACTGAGCACGGAATCTTAGACTCGGGATACTGTTAAAATCTTTGTGTATCTTAACATTATGAAATAATAAGCTAGAATACTCATCAACTGACGGGGATGTTTAAACTTAATTAAAACAATGTACGTTTAACAGCAATCATATATTTCAAAGTAATAACTTGAACATAAACTTTATCTCAAAAATTTTAAATTATAACAAACCTTCCTCATAAACAACATTTGCAGTTCGCTTTTCATCTACCAACAAATAAAGATTTTGAGGTGATTCCTCCACCCTTGAACACCTTACATCTCACTGACAATGAGTCAAAACATGATTATTTGAAAAACAATCCAGCAACTTTCATACTTTGACCTTGAATCCCTTTAGAATATTCAACATTGTCCAAAGCGTCAACCTGCCAATATTGTTTGAGATTGACTCAATAGGCTGGGAGTAATTAACCAACAGGTTTTACAAAATAGAAATAAGGCTACGTTCAATTTTGATCCACTTTGGACATTCCCCATAGTTCATAGTATTTACATACAAATTTTGCTTGAAATTGCCCCAATATTTCTTCATTACATATATATATAGATAGAAGGCGATTATAAACTCAGTATGGTTATTTAGGACAGCCTGGAAGGCGAACCGTGTAATATACGGATTTTGAATATGCACAGCATAAAATTACTTGACAACCACAAAACTGACATAGATAATATAATGCTGCCAAAAATATATTGCTTTTTACGATGCAAACTAATGTTTCTTTAAAACACAAAGAAATATGGATCTCCATGGGGTACCAAGACCATTTAGGAAGATAACTACAACAATTCGAATAATGTGAGTGACAAAAAGCTGTCCATCTACCCCAAGCAACAGTATGCAACGTAATCAAAAAGGATCTCTGTTTGGAAACGAGACCAACAAGTTATGGGTTTATCAAGATAAGGTTTGCACTCATGCCTCCCGTTCAGCCATCGTATACCTCAAGTAGTTGGAATATGAAAAGTGTATTCATGCTATTCCATTCAAAGATATGCCAGTCAAATTGCTGTAATTCTATGTGATTGGACTGTTGAATTGGCCTCTGAGAAACTGTCATCCTCATTCACTAGATGGATTATGGAATGCAGGCAGGGAAGAGAAGAGGGATTTGGATATAAAATACTTAGGAAAGAGCTTTCTGCAAAGAAAAATTGCTATTGTCAATAATGCATGACGGAAGTAATGACATGCACTGTAACGACGTGTTTAGGCTCTAAAATTATCTTATTAGAACGAATTGAACCTCAGAAAATAGCAATAGGTCTATTCGCAAAGAGATTGCAACAGTTTTGATCATTTACCATTCGATCTCAACTTTCACTGAGGTTTATATAAGTCTGGTCTTTTCGATATCTTTGTCAACTTACACTATTTATTATTCAGGTTTGAACGACGTCCTGTGTTTCTGGGTTTTCTGTGTCTGACTATTTTCTCGAGCTACGTAGGCGCAGCTGTTCCGAATTTGCCATTTTTCTATTTGACCCGGTTTTTCTCAGCGATGGGGATAGCCGGAATACAAAATGCTGGTGTTTGCCTTTGTAAGTAGCTTCAAAAAATTTATTTATTTTCATCTCTGTAACATGTTCTCTCAGTAAGCAATATCTATAATGGGTTAAGTGAATGTTTTTGCATGTTAAAAGTATTCCACTTTCAGTAGAAAAACAGAAATTACTTGTGAAGACTTTTTGCGAAATCTAGGTATATTTTTTTTTCCATTTAGATATTAGTACTTCCTCGAGTTTAGTGTCTTCTGTTGTGGACTAAATACAGATCGCTATGAATTTTGAATGTTTATGTACTTTTCTGTAGTAATTGAAACGATTAGTCCAGGGTATCGACTTTGGATAGCGGTTTCATTTTCATTGGGTTGGATCCTAGGATTAATCATTCTTCCTGGACTAGCTTGGATAATCAGGGACTGGCAGTATTTTCGAGCTGTAATCACGTGCGGGTGGCTACCGATTTTGACCTCCTGGTGGTGAGTGGGAGAAGATTTATTATTATATTGTAAAAAAAAAAAAATCTTATATTACTATATAATTAGTTGCATTAGTTCGATTACTTTAATATTTCACTAAAACCACTAAACCATAGGGTTAGTTCTTCATAGTGTTAATAATATATATATAAATGTTTTAGTGCTAATGAGTACTTTAGATCAATATAAAGCCGTTTAGGTTGCTCAGTATTTCTTAAAGATTACTTTATATTGGGCTTAACTACTGCACCATTGATGGTTTTAAAAACTTAAGATTTTAATGTTTAACTTTGTGTATATCCAGTTCATTCAAAGTTTTGTTTTTACAAACTTCATTAATTGTGTTTCGACTGTTAATTCAATCTTATATGTTTTTACTCAGTTAAATATTTTTACATCAAGAGATGAATTCGCGGATCGTTGATTATTAATATTCCTTTTGTAGCATATTTGTATATTTTGACGTTAACCTTAATATCTTGCTTAAGTTAATATATACTAAACATTGGTCATTACTTACATTTTTTATGTTTTTCCGGAACATGTAGCAGCCAGCAATCCTATCTCTGTTAACTCTAATATCACATGATTACTATAATTATAGAAATACATATCTATGTGACAATATTCATGTGTGTAAATGGTATTACTTCATTGAATAAAATCCTGTAAGTACAGTTATATAATCAAATCTCAGGTTTCTTCCCGAATCTCCAAGATGGCTTCTAACCAGGAAGCGGTATACAGACGCAGAGAATAACATCAGGAAGTTTATCAGAGTCAATAGATTAATTGTTTCAAACCTGGACCGCACCATGGAAATCTTAAAAGCGAAGATTGAAGCGGTAATCAATTCATGTAACGAAACTCGTGAAGAGCTATTTAAAAACAATTATTTGAAGTGTAACTGTTTCTTTGTTTTAAGTACGAAGCTGCACAATGGGCTATCTGCAATGTGTGTCGAATTTTAGCGTAATAAGTTCTCAATCCTACCGTTGAACCAACGGAGGGTGCCATTATAAATTAAACTCCAAAAATGAAATAAAGTGAAAATTTTAAGAACTAATTCTGTAAAAACTCTTCAACCTTTCTCTATATTTTAAATTTCATGACAGAAGTATAAGACCCATTAATTAATGACCTATTATTCCGATGTCTGCATGAAATAAAGCCAAGTTTAATGGGTAATGTTACACCAGCGTATCAAATTATTTTAAGTTAATATTTGTAGCTCAATTATTATTTTTTAGCTCAATGTATTTGAAGTTAGATAATTGTACATTGTCCCACAGATACTATTATTTCATACACAATAATGTAAACTAGTGGTCAGTGTGCTGACATTGTGAGGTTTCATAGTTCGCGTCCTGTTACCATAAAAACGTTCTCCGCTCTTTGGAGTCTTGGGTGCACTGTAAGAGCGACGGTCAAATCCCAATACACGGTCGAACAAGATTATCTTAAGAGTTGACGGCGGGTTCTTTCGCTATAATTTGTCAGTTCAAATTGAAGAATGTATATACCAACTGAATACGTTTGTCTGCTAAGAAAGTGTTAAACTTTGCCCAAATAAACCTACTAAAACCTTGTATTTGTATTTATATCACATAGTTTCACCGCCGACAGTTAGCAGACTTCCTTATGTTTCATGAAATAAATATTATAGCAGAAATTAAGCCATTGTGGCATCAATATTTGTCTAAATAATCTTTGACCGTTACGTTCAATTATTTTTGACATTCGAATTTTTTGTTGAATCTTAAAATTACTGATAATCAACGTAATAAAAAATAATGATTACTACTACTTTATATTTCTATTTTAATCAAACCACAGGAAAAAAAAATAATGCCAACGTTAACCGTACTGGACTTGTTCAAGACTCCACAGCTGCGTCGTAGGACTATAGAAATAACACTTGTTTTGTAAGTATTTAATTGTAAGTATTGTATAAAATGTGCAAAGAGCTTTTAACACTGTGACCATCATGACATATATAAGACGAATTTGATGAAAGCAACTGTAGATAACTTATGTGATTAATATAGTTATGTTTGGAAGCATCACTCATTATCATGGTAACCTCACATTATCACAACTGTATCTTCACTGCTTTACTACGAAAACGACACTTCATTACAACGATAACAGCACTCTTTAAATACTTAAATAAACGAATAGAGAAGAACAATATCGGTGTCGTTTCAAAGAAAAATATATTTCCTATTTTTATCTTAACAGCTGTTTCACGAATAACACTCTTTAGACAGAATACGTTCTGATTCCCACCCATAATTCCCAGTTTTACAGCAATTACAACGGAATCTGTTACCGTTAAAGATGTTTAGAAAATCCTGATTTATTGACTTCTGACAATTTTCGGACATTTTGTTTTTTAAACCTTACGTGAGTGTTTTTCATCTTCTAGACAAAGTGCTCTTGAGGAAGATACGTCTTCTCATGGAAAGAGTCTTTAAAGTGACGAGCATATAGGTCATCCATATAGTTTCATTTATATATATAGTAACATAATGTGCGAAAGTTATAAGTGAACTGAACACTTTCTGTGACTTGTAAATGGAAATGAAGACCTTAAACCTTCCTCGTAAGATTATTGGATTAATATATTAGATAATATTTAACACTGTCTTTATTAGTTAGGCGGCATTATTACGAAATAAGATCAAGAAACGTATAAACAATAAGGTTTCGCATAAGTATGAGGCTAATATTTCTTTGGTCTGAAAGCAAACGATCATGGCATGCTATATATCAGTGATTCTCAACAAATGGGACACGCCCTGCATGGAAGGGATTTGTCAAACTTTCTAAGGTGGGCGTGGTAGAGTTCACATAATAATATTACAACGAATTTTTCTTTTTTAGGTTTAAAAGAAAATTATAACAACTTAGAGATGTATAGTTAACAGTTTTATTTTCAAATCTATTTTTATAACGTTTACTACTGATGAATATAAAGCCGCGATTATGTAGCAGAGAACCAATTAAAAACGACTTCGAGTTAGCTGAGTTTCAGTGACTCATCTTAGCGCCGTATTGAAGACTTGTACAGTACATGAAATAGTTTGAAGTGTCTGAAAAAGGCAATATTTTACATGTGATATTTTTGTGAGTGTATGGGCGAAGTACATATTTTTGGTAATGTAGGGCTTGACCCAAAGAATATTGAGTACTTTGATATTCGACATCTAATGAAACACGAGCATATTAACACTATGATTGTTGGAGTATGGGGTTTTTTTGACGTTTCTTTTATTATCAAAGATTTTTTACTAGTATATGTTTTTTTAATATCTAGTTTTGCGACATCATTTCTATATTACGGCTTGACCTTCGACTTGGCAAGACTAGGGGGCAGTATGTACATTAACTTACTAATCTCGGCTGCTGTGGAACTCCCGGTTTGTGTAGTGCTCCCTCTAGCGGTAAAGTTCGTGAAACGGAAACCAACGATCATAGTATCCTTCGTGGTTACCTGTGTTGCCTGTGTTCTGGTGATTGCTGTTCCGGAAGGTTTGTGTAAATCTTACTGAAAATCCAGAGTTCAAATGCTTCCAAATCTGTGACATGGTACAAAAAAACGCAACAACAGGCTTTTCAAACTACATTTATTTAAAATCATAAACATTTTCTGTTCTGTATATAGCAATATTTTGGTAGATAATTTACCTCTCTGTGTTTTCTTTCTTGACAAAAATTCGTTCTGCCATTTTATGATTTACTTAACCCTATGCATCTGAGGGGAGTCAAAGTGCACATGCCATGACCTTATTTAAAGAGTAAGAATCAAAATTTAATCAAACAACTTTATTATCATTGTATGTGTATATTTAACTTCTTGCTTTACTGAAACATTATATCTGTTCAGCCCTTATTCACGCGCCCCTTTCCCTCTGTTTTTTAAGAAATACTTATAATTCCCTTTGACATTGCTATTGGTCGTATTTATAACTAACAGAAAGAGAAAATTGTACTCTGTGTAAATCACATGACTCTTTGTGTCGTTTGAACAGAAAAAGACAAAGATTTGCTTTTGAGCTCGACGAGTTTGGACGGGTGATTTTGATACCATGAGTGATGAAATTAATTAAACCTACAAGATAGAAGGCCAAATATATTACACTATTTTTCATTACAATATAACCCATTGAGTGGCATGTTTTTGGTTTTCATATTTGATAGCTACATTTTTTGAACAACAAACATAACAGTAAAAAAATAGGGTTAGAAAACCAGACACTCGAGACCGAGTGCAAAGAGGCCTAGAGCTAAGGAAAATTCTAAATATCTTTTATGTATATTTTTTATGTATTATTTTATATTCTTTTTATTAAAGTAACTAAATGTAAAGATCAAAAACTTATTAAGTCAGATAAGAAAACATAACTGAGACGTATGCAATTTAGAAGTACAGATGTAATTTGATACTTTTGTTTATTCGACTAACCCACCGGATGATTTACTGCCTAACATGCTAGTCAGATACGGTTTAAATAGTAAAGAATTAGTAATATTAAATGAAAACAGTTTTAAGAGGCCTAAATCTCTTAGAATATAGTCGCAATTGTCTGTTTTTTCATTTAGGAGTTTCTAGAAATTATGTAAAAGAAATATAAAACTGTATACAAAAAATAAATGTTTTTATTCTTATTATGTATATCAACTTTCACTCAGACTGACTCGGTAAATACTCCATAATTCTACGGGCAAAACTTCAGTAAAAATATTTTATTAAAAATTCTAATTACTTTGTATAACAGGTTTATAATTTTTGCTAAAAGTTTACCAAGTTTTCTGATGATACGCTTACTACACTAAAAATCATAATACTTATAGTTTCATGTTTACTGGCTGATTAATTTGTTTTTCAGAAACTTATATATGGAAAGGATGTTATTATATTTAAATTTAACTTGTAACCATAGTTTAATCGTCACGTTCTTATTGATGTATACTTTCTAATTTTAAACACATACATATATATATATATTCAAGACTTTTTTTACAGATTTTCTGTTGACAAAGATTTCACTAACTATGATAGGAAAATTTTTCGTATCCATTATCGATAACATCAGGTTTGTTTATGGAGGGGAAGTGTTCCCCACCGTTATTCGAACTTTGGGGGTTAGCACTGCTCTCCTGGGTTCGAGAATAGGGTCGGCAATCGTTCCATTTATTCGAGAACTGGTGAGTTAAAACAAACTTAATTTGTGATAAAAAATATATGTTCATCATACTGCTTTGTTAAATTGATTTTTAACAAACTTGAGACATTTTGGATATATGTGAAACAGCCAGTTATCTATCAAAGTTAAAGTCACTTGAACACCTGTTATACAAATAGAATTAAATTATACCTAATACAATAAGGTATCAGTCGACCGTTTGCACAGTTTCCTGTTTCAATAGATTCGTTTAAAAAACCTTGCATATAAAACGTTGGAATATTAAACACATACAACACCTTAAATGACAGGTGATAACATATTGGAAATGAAAAGGTTTTTTCACTTAAAACGCTCATTAACTATCAGTTCTACCAGGTCTGTAAACATCCGAGGCCCGTATCTTGTTTGTTTGTTATGAATTTCGCGCAAAGCTACACGA